TTATAATAATTAGTAGAAATGTAAACATAAACATTTTTACAAGTACATTTATAGAAATTTAAAGTATTTTTGATATTTTAATTTTCAAGCGAGTTAGGAAGATTTTTTATAATGTTTTAATGTTTTGAATATAATATATAACACACTTGAAAATTAAAATATCAAAATAAAAACACTTCCATCAAACACTATAATATATTTTTATCTTCAAGTTAAATTACCTTAAATATTTAAATTCATTCTAATAATTAAACTAACAAGGGTAAATAGCAGCTAAATAAAAACTATTAAACGTATATATTTGCTTTATTATGTATTTGTAAAATAGTAATAATACAGATGAAACATCCTTTTAAGACCATTAAAAAATTATAAATTTTAGTGAAGGTATATGTTTTATTGTTTTATAATTTATCATATATTATTATCTTTCTATATTTTAATTTTTTAGACACTATGGATACATTAAAAAGATTCGAAAGTTTTATCAATCATTTTTAAATGATTTTTATTATAAATATAATATTTTAAATAAAAAAGTCTAATGTAATGTCTAGTCTTATGATATGTTGACGAGTCGCACCTTGGAATGCGACATTATTGTTATTATTGTGTCAAAGTCCGATATGATGGTGTCATTTATTTAGACTATATTTGTAAACAATACTATTATGAGATTATGTTTAAAATATTTATATTTTATTCAACGCGTATTAAAATGATGGCCAGATTTAAGATAAAACGTGTAAGCAGCATGTGCTGGTGCAGCGTTATTCGGAGGACGGGGCGTGGTGGTTCGTTTTTCGAAACGATTTCATTATGAATTATGATTATACATCAAATAACAATAACTTAATGTTTACCGAATGTTAACCATGTGTTTATTTTCATTATTTATTTCAAGAAAGAATATAGTGTAAACATTAAACAAATGCTGAAATATCACCCAGATGCGAATTAAATACATATAGCCGTTTGTTATTTACGGTAAACCGAATTATAACTAAAATTATGTTATGATAATTATTATCTGTCGGTTTTATTGCTCTGTTTAAATATTTATATACATAGGTGATAGGTGTACTATACATGAGTATTTTTACGACGGTACAAGGTATGCGAACGCGAACTTAAAATGTTACTGATTAATAAACAATATTTTGCAAAAACGTTATTTTTAAAAAAATTTAAGTTACTGCCATTCACTTTGGCAGAACAGTGTAATCAGTCTTTATTTCAAATTTTAAAATCAACATGACGTGTATCTAGTGTTATTTCACAATAGTTTGTACATCCTACGAAAAAGTTTATTTACTAAGGACCCATTTTGTCGTATTAGTTATTACGCTGACGGCGTATGTATAAGTTACCCTTGAATGAGTATTTTTTACAATTTATTTTTAAGTTCGAAATACTGGCTGAATTCTGATTGTTATCTGTTTTAAACATTTTCTATTCCGTGTTATTTTGAACCTAAATAAAGATTCTTTTGTTGAATCTATAACGACTTGAATGTTAAAATATGAATAATATTAATACATTTTTTTGGTATTTGCTATTATAGATATTAATACCTACATATTAATAAGTTAAAATGAGAGTTATTGAATTATTTATTTATTTATTTAATTTAAGTATTGTTTCTGCAATCCGAACGTTTATCTATCTGATTATTATTTTATAACCTGTTATTTATTTACAATGTAACTAAAATAATATTTTTATAAATACACATTTAATGTAGTTAATAATATATGTACCTATATAATATCTTAAGGGTAATGTATACGTTATCTACTATCTAGGCAATTTGGATTACGAATACAAACGAATTAATTTTCGTGTAATATTTTCTATTAAATTTATTATTAACCATAATGATGGAAAAAATTTAATATTTTATTATATTATTTCGAGTATTTTAAAACAATGACAATTGATTTTACTAAATTGTATTACATTACTTACATTACAAACATTGTAAATACATTAAAATATTATAATTCATAATAATAATCATTATTATCTAAAAATTCTTCAAATGCAGATGGCTGTGCCACTAGTATGCACCTTGCAAAACAAACAAATGCAAGTGTGCAAAAAAAAGATAGATTTTTCAATTCTAAGTGCCATTTTAGTAAATCAGGTATAGTATTACCAATAAATAAATAGTTAATGATAAGATTTTAAATAACGCTTATATAATAATAATAAATAACAATTTATTTATTTATTTATTTAGCATGGCATTGAAGGTATTATCAACATTAAATGCATAATTACTATCATCATTTATTATTATAATTGTTTTAAAATTAATATAGTTAATTATCTACTGTTTTAAAATATTCAGAATATAAATAATTAATATAATATTATTATAGTTAACATATATTTTTTCTATCAATATTATACAATTATTAGATACTAATAATAAATTTAATACAAAATATTGCATATAATTAATTTATTTCTATTCTTCGTTCTAATTACCTTTACAGGACAAAATTATCTACCAACCAATATGTACATTACTCTTATTCTACATTTCCTGTAATATATATATATATATCATACGATATAAAAACTTAGTAGATTTTGTACCCACGACAACAAATATTTACGCAACTAATACCATTGTCTGTAAAATTGTATTCGAACTAAATTAGAATTTTCTGAGTCAGATGCAGCTACTATTTTATGTTATTGCAACTATTGTCTTTGTTTAAACAAACACTGTAGTTTTTGTCTTATACAAAACTGAAATTATAAAAATGTACAATATACACATAGTTTTTACGTTTTTGGGTATTAAACGTTATAGCATTTTTAACGTTATTTAATCGTTTTATTTTGTATGCGTTAAAAATAAAAACAACATTGTAAACATCAATTAAATTGAACATAAAAATAAGATTTATTTAGTTGAATTATAGAAATACTCTAATAAGTATATTATTTAATAATAAAAAAAAAAAGAACAATAAAATATTAACTATTATATTGTTAACAGAAGTTGTTCATTTTTAAATTGATCATACCTACAAAAATTAATAAAATTAAAATATTCATTAGAGAAATAATATATACAAGAGTTCTAGGTTTATTGTAAAAAAAAAAAAAGTGCAAATATTATTTTTAATAACGTCATTTGTAAGTATTTTTTTAATTTACATATTTTAATAAGATTTTTTTTTCTTTTTCTTTTAATTTTTTAAATAATTTTTCTTTATAACGTTTTAAAAAACGTTCAAATTGCTATCATACTATGTTAAATGAGTGTGATAAAGCGATTTGTGAAACGTATAAAAGTGGCAATGTTTCTATGTATTAATATATTCCGTTGATTATAAAGAAAAGTTATAAGCGAATAATTGTAAATACAGTGAAAACTGTGTAATGCGGACCCTGAATGAAACAAAAAATTATCCAATACGGAATTTATCTCTGGGCCCGGCATGTTCCTATAGTTTTATATAGACATTAATAACCTTAATAAAACGGATCCTAGTCTATAATTATTGATGAATAACTTAAAAAATAAAAATTATAAATGTTATAAATTAATTTTGTTGTATGAAAAATTGATACGAATTGATAATCCGGAATTTTACTGTTTTATTCAATAAACCGGATATTGCTTAAAGCGAAATTTTCAGTTGGTCCCATGTTATTCTGCATTAGACAGTTTTCACTAAATTAAGTTTCATGGTATTAATTTTACTTTTAACTTAACAAACAATGAATTAAATTATGCGTCACAACTAGTAACATAATATTATTTTTGTGAACTTTAAATTTTACTAATTCTGCATTATATAAATATGTAGGCGTTCAATTCATTTTTAACAGTTGCAAAAGTTGAAGCTATTTAATTTTTTTTTTTTAAATAGTGATTATTTACTTGGAAACGTTAAATATTAATTCTTATTAAAAGCTTTTTCAATTTTTAAAATAATTTTAAAATATTTTTATATTTTGTTTATACATAAAAACAAATTATATTATTTAAAATTGTATATTTAAATTATTTCAAATATGTTTTGTAAAATATAAGAAATACATTTTTTTTATTTAATAGTGCCATATAAAAAAAGAACGAAAAGAAGTATAAAGAACATCAAACATCAAAGACCTACTGCTGAGTTACTTTCCCGGTTTTTATTTAAAAAAATATTACAATTAATTACTTGTTGTATATTTTTGAATATTTATTTTTCTTATACGAAATCGAATGTTTTATATACATTTATTTACATGGCAAATGAAAATAAATTTATATAAATATATTTTATCTTTCTGATTTGCATTATTTCAATATGAAAAAACAAAATAATAGAAAGCTTTTTTAGAATTATAAATTAAATACAAGTATTTGTTTATAATAATGCATAATGGCTTATATATGAGTAAAGAAAAAAATATATTTTTTTAGTTATATAGTTAAAATAATTTAAATCAAACATTCGAATTAATATTGAAATAATTATCTTAAAAAAAGTAATATGAAATTATTTATAAGTTCACATAAGACTCGTAATTTAAAAATGTATAATTTTAATTGGAAATATATTATACGTATACATAGTGAAATAAATAAATCTTTCAACTATAAAATATTTTTAATTAAATGCGATGTGCATATAGAACTATGAAATATTTACCTATAAAATAAAAATTAAATAGTTACTTATGAAATATATGTAAAAAGTTTTAATCGGCAAAGAATAAAATATCAACAAAAAAAAAAAAAAGTAAAAATACAGAACAATGTAAAATAAAGACGTTAAATTTAAATTAATAAGTAACCAATTAAAACTTTATGTTCAGGACATTATAATATTATTACAGTATATAATAACTAATAATGTAATGTAGAATATATTGACGATGGTTATTAACTATAAAAATAAATACGACTTACGGATGGAGGAGGGGAGCTGTAAACTTCTCAGCCACCTTTGAGTATAATAATATAATATCTATATGACTTCACTCACCCGCAGTGATTGGGACAAAGACTGCGCATAACGCGTACGATCGTTTCATGTTTGGAAATCGTTCTGCAGAATTGCCGGAGGAAACTAAACATCAGCAGTCATATGCACCACACTACGTTTTGGGCAGGTACTTATGCCAATCAGTATACGACTAACTGCGATGTAACTATGTAACTATACGCGCATTGTATTTGCGAGCGCGTCTTAAAAGAAATTGGGAACAACAAAGCGACATTGGTGTGCTCTGACCGTCAAACCACTAATGGAGGAAACGATAATATACGTCTTCGAGGTTTTCATCTTATATACATTTCGTGTCCAACGAGTCCTCCGTCAATCTAGCCATTAAAACTACTGTGGGGCGAGCCGGAACGACTGCGATGTGACAAAATCGAATTGATCGTCTACGAGGCGTTTTATCTTTATATATGTATATATATATATCTAAAGTATTTTAGGACGCCCCTGATGGACAATTATTATAGGTAATAACCGATTTAACGTATATACCTACTATAAATTAGGAAGAAATAGTTACCATTGCGACATCCTATATTGTTATATTATTATATTCCCAAGATCTAAACAAAGCAGCGAGTATTCGCGTCCAGTTATTTCTATTTACTTTTTTTTTTTACGGTGAGACAATACCATGTAACGTGATGGTAAAAAAAAAATAACCTAACCTAAGCGCGTTATTCTATTATGGCCGTTTTAAGACAAGACAATTATAGTATATTCTCTGGAATAAAAACAAAATATTGGACGCCATAAGTATAGGTAATATTAAATTATAATGATGTGAATTTCACCTGATACATTTTTCTGGTAATACAGTCAACACATTTTACCAGTAAATTTCTATTAAACATTGTCTATAGTTTATATCCATTCAGTTACGTAACAATCATTGTCATAATATTATACAAAGAAGGTTATGTAAAAAATAAAATAACACAATAGTCATCGATCCCTTTGATACCATAAAATTAAACGGATGTAGCCTATAAGTATAAAATATGACTCAATCGCAACCCAAAAGCACAAAAATATATATTTCATAAGTGCAAAAAAACATACATTTTTAACAAACCATAAGCACAAATAAATCTTACAAAAATAAAGTGTATTTTATCATTGTATTGTACTACAGAAATTATCCTGTGAAGTATGATCTAATAACTAAAAACTCTTACAGTGATATTGAAATAAGTCAAAAAATTTAAAATTTAAGTAACATATTGTAAGTTATTAGTTTAGTTATATTGAGTACCTTAAAATTAAACTTACAGATTTTAAGTAGTCCAATCTGAAATTCCTTTTTTCTTTTTACAAGTTTCATTCTTTTATATTGAAGTTAATTTTAAAGCTGTGATTTATAGTTTTTCGTTTATTTGATTTAATTTTTAAGTAAACTGCTTTTAAGCAATACAATCGCTTTTATCTTACTATTAAGGTACACGTTTTAAAATATTTCACTCGAATTTCAAACATATTTCAATTAAAAATAAATTGATTGTCTTAAAATAATCTATATAACTATAAAGCTATAATAGTAAAATTATCTCAAGTTAAATGCCATTTGATATAAGTTTACACTATATAGATATATTAAATGATTATCAACCTTCACCGTAACTTATTACAATAAAATATGATAATAAACTTCAACTGAATTCGATCACTGTTGTTTTTAAAATATAAAAATACTACATACTAAGAAATAAATATAATAAGCGTCAACATTTAAACTGAAACTTTTAATGCAACAAGTACAATATTGTATCAGATATTTCAACCTATTTTTGCGCTTTTATCCCACTACTAAGGTACAAAAGCGCAAAACGAATCGACGCTTTTGGATTTCACCAAATTAAATATCATAATATCTAAATCATAATCATAAACTTTAATCTGTTATATTTTTTTGAAATTCCAATATGTATTATATTCCTAATCTATTGATGTAAAATATAAAACCACACAAATGAAGTAGTCATTCAAACTTTAGAATGATAAAAAAAAAAAAATTATCTTACCTGCAAGAAAATTGCACTCAGGAAATTTATGAGACTTGCATCGTTAATTAAATATAGATAGGTACCTTATAGTTGAAATTACGACAAATCACAAGTGATCAATTATAAAATATACCTATAAAAATATACGCAATTACTAATAAAATATTTTTACACGGGAGTTTTACGAGTATATTATACAATTGAAGTTTTAATTAAAAAACTTTAACCGAAAATTCGATTATATTCAACGCACATACACAAAAGTTGTATAAAAATGTAAGTAATAACATGTTTTATTTTTAATACTTTTCATTGAGTTCTTTGAAGTTTTTAAACCATCACTATTCACTTGTTATCTTCATTGCGTCAACTTTGAAAGATTAAAAATTATTTTAATACTATTACCTACATATCTGTATAGCAGCAAGTATCACAATAGACCAAAAGATACCTAAACTTATATTAAATCGAAAATCAAAATCAAATTGTCACAGTAACATAAAATTTTCTGGCATTGTCGATTAAATTATTATTATGGTTACATATTCATCCCTTTGCAATACGATTCCTTACGATCAAAGGCTATATTATGACAAAACAGATAAAATACTGGTGGTTGTAAGTTTGAGTAGGTTTTTTGTAAATTGACTTGGCCTAATGCAATACAACCAAATGATTCTATATTTTGATAAATCTGTTTTATCCAATAAAATAATAATATTTTGAGAGCAAAATTGATACACAAATTGGACAATGGCGGATACATTGCTCATAATTTTTTTTTACTGATACTTAATAATCGAATTGGAATTTAATAATTTCACTAGACTAGATATGTATTTATACTACAACATATTATAATATAAATATGACAAATTAAAAGACCACGCTATGAAATTTTGTATATACTTTGAAATTAACATAATTTAGTATAATATATAAATATTATAAACCAATATTTTTTTATTTTTTTTTTATTAACTTACAATTAATTAAATTTAACATACATATGACTCATATGAGCACTGGACCCCGCTGAGAGGACTCGTGTGAGGAAGGCCCTGGATTTTAAATTAAAGTACCTATATAAAAATAACATTTCTAATAAATAAGTACAATATATATATATATAAGCTAAAAGACACCTTACATTGATTATATTACTTATTGATAAAAACTTAAATAATATTTATCTATATAAATATTGGAAATTTAAAATCTAAGATTAATTACGACATTTAATAAAATATTATAACTATAATGTAATTAATTCGTCGGAGAATCTCAATAGCTTTTGCAAAATGCCTTTTTTGAATAAGTTAATTGAAAGGCTTATTATAAAAAAAAATTTTAAACGACTTTTTTATGAGTAAGCGGTAAATGTATTATATTATTCAAATTGAATTATCTGTGCATATTTAATAAAAAAAAAAGCCTGCAAGCTGAGTTTCACCTATAAGTAAATATAATTATAACACTGGTGTTTTGTAATTAAATATAGGAACTAAATTTTGAAACTATATGCTATGGAAATATGGCCGCATAGGAATTGTGTTTCAGTTTTTCTATACGACTACACTAATTTTGTTCCAATTATCTGATATCATTATACGGTTGTATAAATAAATAATCTATATGAGTATTTTGAGTTATGACTATTGAATAATAATTTGAAACTTGTAAAATAAACGTACACAACGGTTAGTATCTGTTTTCATTGTGTACCGTTTACCATCGTGCATTGTTTTGTTTTTTAAAAAATAATTAAAAAATGCAGTATTGGATGTATTGCTAAAAATCACAATAGTCATTTATTGAGTTAAATAATAAGAATGAAATATTAAACGTGTTATTGAGCATAACTAACCATAATGCAAGTTATTTTGATAAAGTATTAAATAGACAAAAATTAAGCAATGATTTAAAAACACATTATAATAAACAATAGACGAACTCTATGATAAGCCATCAAAACTAATTCATAGGAAATTATCAAATGACCAGTTGACATCGATACCGAATGCAATAATTAGTATAATAATAAAATTGCTAAATATTATCGAGACGTAATTCGTGTGATAAAGGGATCTTGGGACACAGTTTGTTAACTGCGGGAAAAGTGAATAACTGTGGCATTTACGTATTTATACACACTACAGTATACAGGATAAAGCACGCTAAGACATGCGTCATATATTTGGGGAGGAGAAAAAATCCCACTTTTGCTCCCCTACATCCAATACTGCAAGTAGGTGCAAAATATATAGATACTCGTACTTCCAAATTATTATTGAATATTCAGGAGTGAATGGTCATCAGTGTGAACATACGTAACACAACTATGATTGATTTTATTATCTTATTTCATTCTTTATAATAGTTCTAAATATATTACATTAGACTTTGTTAATAATTGTTTTTTATTTTATATTTGAATTTATCATTTAACTTGAGATATTTTGAGCATTTGAGCTACAATCAAAAAACTCCTGAAGGTAGTATTTAACTTTTGAATTTTTTTAAAATACGAAGGAATTCATATATCTAAAGGTTATATTATTAAATATTATAAAAGTATCATAATGCAATAACTAATTTATAAATAAATAATTATTCACACTATCTTTAAAACTTCACACAAATTTAGTTATCTTTATCTAGGTACTATGTGCATACAAGAACGAAGAACCTTTCGATTGCGATTGCTGCAGTTATATAAAACAATAAATCAATACTTATAGCACATAAATAGAATACATTCAACAGAATTAGAAAATTATGATATAATGCAATCTAGCAAACAAATATTTGTCAAACGTTTTACATACGTAAAACATATAATATTTATTGTTTATATAAATTGGATTTCCGGTATAAGTATAGTATTGTAATTCCGTATGCCTGACGCCTGTATGATATCTGACAAGTGCAGCTGGTAAAACTATTCGTTACAGTAGAAAAAATACAAAATGTCAATACGATTTTATATGTTGCGACGTATAAATATTCAAGAATATTATAAAAAATTTAAATAATTTAAATAAATATATATATTGAGTATATTGAACATAATACTGTAAATTCACAACTTTAATGTGTATTTAATAATAGATTATATTACGCGTCTACATCGTATAATATTTGTACAGACATTTCAATAAACGTATATACATATTATAATAATATATGTAATGATGTGTAATCTATAGCTGAATGTTTG